TATTAAATCTATTTCTTAGTTATGAATTATCTGCATTTGCCTACTAGTCTAGAACAGAAATAGTGCATCCATCCAATCCCTTCCCTCCTGCTAAATACACCAATATATAAACAAAAATGGTTGATTTTATATCTATAATTTATCAATTATACACAAATCATCCACATAGTTAACTCCTTGAATTACAAAAATGAAATATTTAAATTTTCATTATACAATAAAGATTAAAGTTGTAAAAATGGAACATTATTTATCACCTTAAATTAAAGTTGTACTATAAATGAAACATTTTACATTTGAGTCATTACTGAACACCTGCTAATAAATAAATTATCATAACATAGTTACAAGTGTTGCGCCAAATACGCCAACTCGCACTAAATAGTAAATACACCGTGCTCCATTAAATGCTTACCAGTCAATTTAATTTTAATTTTTGTTCCACATGCAACCTATTTAGTAATACTGAAAACTAAATTGCATTTAAATGCGTAATTTATATAATAAAAAAATGTCAAACACTTATATTATACATATTTTTATTTATTTATATTTTCTCCCAAATTTACTTTTTTCAAAATCTTTATAATTTTGATTGAGTTGTTTTTTTTATAAAAGCTATTTTTACAATTAAGAGTAATTATTTTTCATGATTTTTTTTTTATACAATTACTACAAAATTCCAATAGAGCCTGGGAGATGAAGTCATATCATTTTGTATGCATGTAATTTATTTGGAATAGATTATATGATCTCCTAATATTTTTTATGAACAATGGTTTATAGCTATGAAATTGTTTGTGAAATAGACTTCACCCGAACTCTGTCAACTCGGACGACCTCTGTACTTACAAGAACTCAATGTCGGGAGGGGTTCCAATGTTGACCCTCCGATATCTAAGTCAGCACTCGCCAAAGATAAAGAGTGGAATATGAGAGTATAATAATGAATGTGGAGATAATAAGTTTTAGGGATACCTTAATTCTCTTTTATAGGGGAGGTGTACCTTAATGCCGACTTGACCAATACCATTATGCCATGTGTCTGGCCCATGTATAGGTTAATTCTCTAATATATTCATTTTTATCCATTAAAAACGATCTAATATGATATTTATTATAAGGTGTGCCAAATTTCAACATATGATTTTTTTCATGTGAACAGATTATAATTGGACAAGTGCTCTATACATGATTACTTTTTTATTCTCGAATAACATTCAATTTATTAAATTTCATGAATAAATGTAGCTCGTGCATAGCACGAGTTGTATACTAATTTATTATATTATGAAATTAGTATATTTTGAAACAATATAAGAGAACAAAACTTTAAAAAGAAACAAAAAAAAAAAAAAAATATGTTCAAATTGTCATTAATCACCATGTACCAATTCATCCCTTATATTTATTTTTATTTAAATAAAATGAAGGATCTGCAATGATCCGCGAAACACGGATACATCCTTTAAGAATCTAATAACTAATTTATTAGCATTATTCCTAGGAAATTGGTTTGTTGACCATATATATAATATAATTGGAGAACTTTTATTGACCTCAAGTCAGATCATGCTTATCCATAAACTCAAGCTGGCCTTCATTCTCTAGTTTTACAAGCTTCAAAGTCAAGATTTTAGTGTTTAATCATGCAAGGTTATGGGGATAATACACATCTTGGTAAAAACAAATTATGTTAGTTGGAAACGTTGTAATCAGTCCTTTAACAAATATACCGAATGGATTACAATGTTTCGTACAAAGCATGTTACCAAAAATTATTTTGACTATCTAAGATTAATTAAGTTGCAATATAAAATTTTCTACCACTAATATTCAATCATCTAATTAATCAGCCTCAGTAAAACAGTTATGTGTATATATCAACGTTCTAAAAGTCGCTAGGCGCCCGCTAGACGCTTGACCAGCGCCTAGCGCCTAGGCGGCGCCTAGTCGGGGTCCAGAAATTAATATTAAATACCTTATGTTTTATTTATTTTAACTACATATAAAATAAAACTATCTCAACTTATAATAAATTTACATACCAAAGTCCAAATAATAATATTAGTATATATTAAAGAAAATATGAGAACAAAATAATGTAATTAATATTTAAAAAAGAAAATAAAAAATTGCCGCCGAGCCCGCCTACGAGCGCTTAGGTCCGCCTACGTCCGCCTAGACGCTGCCTAACCGCTTGGCCGCCGAGCTTGCCAAGCCCGCCAAGGAGCGCCTAGGCGTCGCCTAGCCGTCTGGTCGATTTTTTCTGCTGATTTGTGCAAATAGGAAGCACCCGGGCAACGCCTAGGAGGCCGCCTAGGCCGATTTTTAAAACAGTGGTATATATATCACTATAGGCTAAAAATTGATGGACAAAATATTTTATCCCTGACTCTCTAGACTCTTTATCAACATCTAGAATTTGAATATTTGCATTTTCTTGAAAATATTAGTATAGTATATACAAAATACAAAACTTATAAATTAGAGTGTTTAGATGACTTCATTTCTCTTTTATGTGTTTGAATAAACATGCAAGTGATCCTGTTAGCCTTCCTTTCGATATGACCCGTGATCGAATCATTCGAGTTGACTCCTGTAACTATAACAACTTCTAATTATCATGTTTTTTTACACTCTTTGAGTTTGCCTCATAATATGACTTGGGGTATCACATATTCTAAACATACTTCGAGAGATTTAGAGCTATTTTTATCATATTTCATATAGTTATAGATCCGAGCTTTCTATTTTTACTCTTACAAAAGTTTGGAACTTGGATTTGTCCTTATTTTTTACCGCACTTAGAAGAAGTATTCGTCATTTTTTCAAGATCAAGTAAAGGCTTCTTAAGTTCTAAAAATCAAGTAAAGGCTTATTTTTTGGGTACAAAAGAGAGACTAACGCCAATCAACATTAGGGATAAACGTTCCGTGGATAAGAGATTAACTTCGTGCTCTAGTCGTTCGACAACACCGGACAGTGGAGCTGAAAGAAGTTGGAGACCGAAAGGACTCGAGGCCGCCTTGGACGCCAAAAAGTCAGCCGCGAAATTCGTCTTGCGAAAGATATGATGAGAAATCTTGACCCACCAGTCTCGACTGAGTAGTTTTCTTATCTCGAGAACCAAGTCAGAGTGAACACCCCTTATTATCTTCTGTATTATTCGCAAACCCCACGATGTTGGCATTGTCAACTTCCGCCTTAACTTGACAATATCCCATATCTCAAGCCATACTAAGACCGTGAAATCACCCCCATAACTCCGGTCCCATGATAGAGCAGACTCTAATATTCCTCATGAAACCTTCTAACCATTTCCTATGAGTGTCACGAATCAACCCTCCAGTTGAAGCCGTACCCGAAGATTTGATATAAGCCCCGTCCGAATTCACTTTCACCCTATTGACGGTGGAGTCACCTAACAGATAAGACGCTAGCCTTGAGAACCACCTGTGCCTCCAAGTTTCTTGTCGCTCTTCGCAAATTAGAGTACCCATTAACGAAGTCTTTGATCTCATGTACTTTATCATTGGCTTCCTTTCCACGACTTTGAAAAATAGCAATATTTTGCCATTGCCATCATTTCCACAAGGTTACTCCAAAAAAACACTCTCACTCTCATTTGGCGTCAACAGGAGTATTGAAAGAGTTCAATAACTTAGAAGCGAGCCACACCTCCAAATTTAAACTGAAGAAAGTATGACATACTCGCGACGAAACAAGGCGGACCCATACTTTATAAGCATCCGGACAATCACGGAGAACATGCAGCAGAGACTCGTCCATAGACGGACACTTATGGTAGCTCAAAACAGAAGTTAAGTGTCTCTGTCCTCGCTCAACGTTAGTCAAAAGTCGACCTTTTAGTATCAGCTATAGGAAGTGCCGAACACGTTGCGGGCCGGGCCATCGCCACACGGTCGGGTAGAAAATTATAGTTCTCAGAATTCTCCCAATAAAGATGGTCGTCTCCCAATGTTGATTAGAAAAGTATCTTCAGAATGGAATGTATAATTTGGTAGGATTAAAGAGAAATTCTATATTTTTTTTAATCCAAGCTATGCAAATGCAACACATTTGCCAATGAAAGTGTTCTTGGACTGTTCCTTGTTTTTTTTATTAAATTACTTCCACTTAATTTCTATACTTTATAAAATTTTATATTTGCGAATAAATATAAATTGCACGGAACAAGTAACGCGTTACTATTTGACAAGTTCCGCCTAGTTATGCAAATATATAAATTTTAACTTATTTGAAGACAAATATTATGCACAAATAAATGTTCATAAAAAAAAAATATATTTATACATTTACATGTCTCATATTTGTTATACATGATTAGTAAATTTTTTTAGGATTAATATTTTTTTTGAGACTAACGTATCGATTTATATGAGTATAGCTTTTGAAACCGAAGAGACAGTAAATGTTCAAATACAATGCATAGAAGAATTATGAGTCCAAAGTAGTGAGCAGGGAAAATAGTGTAACAAATTCAATTTAATGAAAAACAAAACTAAAGTCGAGAAATTATGACAAAAGTTTAAAGGTCACATAAACATGTACCCCTTTTACACATTACAACATAGTAGTATTAGAATCTAGGATATACGACTTTTTCAAAAATTGAAATAAAATGATAACACTTTTTTTTTTTTCCTATTGGTTTTCAAAGGAATGTGCATCCTCTGGTTTTGCGGGCCTTTTTCTTCAGTTTTGGTGGTCGCAAAACGACCTTGATTGCTGTATCAAACACTGTTTTCACATTCTGCAAAAATAAAATAAAAAAGAAGTGCACATATAGTGAAAGTTTAAAAGGGAAATTTAATTTATACGGTAAATGGATAAATTTAATTTAAGGAATTAAAAGAAAATTGAATTTACCTGTTGAGTCTTGGCACTACATTCAATATAAGCTACTGCCCCAATCATCTTCTTTAGTTCTTCTCCCTGATTTAATACGGTCAAACCATTACAGTATNTTGAAAAAAAAAAAAAAAGAAATTTGGGAGTATTTGGACCAAAGAAAATAAAATTTTTATTATAAGGTTGCTAATTAAACAAACGCGCCGTTACTAATCTCTGCTCGACTAGGCTCGATTTATTAGGCTGGACAAATAGAAATTTTTCTTAGTTTTCTGTATTTTTAACATAATTCGACTAGTTTCGAAAATGGGTCGAACTCAAAAGGTAATTTTGGAAAATAGTGGGAATTGTATAAATATACCTGCGTAGTTGTTATAGGAGCTGCACCAGGATGATCGCTCAAAAATTGCTTATCTTCTCTCAAATCTGTTTTGGCAATTAGAACAAAGTTATTTATAATTTGACTCAAATTATTTAAATTGAAAGGTCATCTGCAAAAATGGTATGATATATTTTCATTCAAATAAAAATAAAAGATGAAGTAATTAAAGTTGCCAAGATTATAAACTAACTAGTATTCATCTTGTACTCATGTCCAGATGTAAATAAAATATTATATCTTATATATGTAATTATAATATTTAAATTATAAATTAAATAATTGATATATCACATTTTCAAAGTTTAATCATTACAAAAAATAAAACAGTATAATATAAATTATTTAAACATTTTATGAATCGTTATATTAAAAAAAGTTTGTGAATAATGTAATTTTTATAATTTTGAGTGGGTAATGACCAATTAATTTAGTAAAAAACTTATTATTATTATTATTATTATTATTATTATTATTATTATTAGTTTATATGATTTTAAAGTCTTGACTATGCTATTAAAATTAATTAGGTACTTATTTAAAGAAAATTATTTCATGAGATACACAAAAAAAGATAATACTGATTTTAGAACAAAGAGCTTGAAGACAAAAAACCGCAATAGAAATTTTTATATTTATGTAATTTTTATATAACATGTAGTGTGGATTATTATTAGTTGATATTAGTAATAACTAGTACTCCATCCTATTCATAATAAATGTCGTTTTAAGAAGTTGTACAGTAATTAAGAATATTTTTTTTGTCAATAATAATCCTCTTTAATGAAGATAGAGAATGATGTTTTGGGAAAAAATAAAGAGTGAATATGAAAAGATGTAGTGTATTTATTAGCTAAATGAGGGTAATAATGAAAAAATGTGTACAAAAATCTAAAACGACATTTATTTTGTTAATAGTTAATAAAGCCAAAATGACATTTAAAAAGAATAGGAGGTAGTATATAATAACAACAAAAAAATATATGATTAAGCTAATTAAAATAATTGTAACAATTTTCTATTAGCTAAAAATTGTGCAGAAAACATTAATAATGGGGTTGATTAATTTGAAAGGAAAAAAAATATTAATGATATATGTTTGTAACCGAAAATAGATGAAAACCCAAAATAATTTTATTAAAAACTTTGCCTACAATTATATATATTTACTAAAAATTTTAATAATCTCACCCATTTTGGTACCAACAAGAACAATTGGTACATTTGGAGCATAGTGCCTTAGCTCAGGTAACCACTGCAATTAACATAAATCAAGAGATAAATCGAAGAGAAATTAGAGAAACGAGGTAATTACAGATATAAATTAACTGAATAAAAAATATGGAGAAAACTAACCTTCTTGTGTATGTTCTCATAGCTGGCTTTGCTAATTAGAGAAAAAGCCAACAAAAACACATCAGCTCCTCTGTAACTTAGAGGCCTCAACCTGTTGTAATCTTCTTGACCTGTTATCCAATATATTCCCCAAAATTATTTCATAACAATTTCATTACCATAAACAACTTTATGACATAATAAATATAAATTAAATAGAACAAAAGATAAAGACATGATAAAATAACCTGCAGTATCCCAAAGGCCTATGTTCACCGTGCTGCCATCGACTACCACATTTGCACTAAAGTTATCGAATACGGTTGGGACATAATCCTTCATGTAG